CACACTCTAGCTTATATAAACCCTCTAGAGGTAAACCTGGAAAAGATTAATTTTAAGTGCACTGGAAATTCTCAAAAATTTCAAGATACAAAGGAAAAGTCATGTGATATTAGTGCCTATTCACCCATCTTACAAGTGTGTGCTTAGGATCCATTCTTTATTTATTTTCAAAGATGTATTAAGTGTTTACTATTTGCTGGGCATTTAGAAGTAGATATAGGAAAAATAGGTACTTTAACATTCTCTTTGTTAGTTTCTTATGATAACAGGTAAGCATCTTCATCTTGTATGGAAAGAGCTCATAAAGCAACAAAGGAAAACACTTTCCATTCTATTTTGTAATCTGTCTCCCATTGATGTTTGGGGTAGGGGTGGTGGTGTGAGGAAAAATGGGTATGGTCTCCATCTGGCTTCTTGCCATCCCAGAGCCAGGGATCCGAGATGATGTCCTCTAACAACGTTCTATTTCCTAAAATACACAATGCTGTGGTTAGTTATAGCTCTGGTATAATGAATTATCTCTCCTCAGTTGCAGGGTGTTCTCAGGAGGGAGCATTTATTGTAGATACTGGGTTTTGGATAGTAACATTTCTTGGTCAATTATATATATTACCAAACATGTTCTTCCTTCTCCCAACAATACTCTAGGAAAGGCTGTATCCCAGAGGAGACCTGTTTTTTTTTTTTTTCCAGACTTGGGGTGCTTAGCCATTTGATGAACCATAGTCCAATGGCTAAAATTTATGTCAGTCGTTATAACTGTGGTCTCTCAGTCAGGATTAATGCTCAATTACTTTTGAAGAACCCCAGGCAAAGAGATGTGTCATTCAGGCCCCTCAAGACTGATAGAACGTGACATTAGCATACACAGTATAGCTCTGGAAAACCTTGAAGTAGATGGACTATATAAGGTGTGCTCATATATATGCTTAAGCCATGGAGTGAGTTGTACATATTTATACATGAAAAAAGAGACAATTTTGAGCATTTCCTTCCCAAATCCCCAGTCCTCTTGCCAAAAGCTTCTAGCCAAGCTAAGCATATATACTTTAACCTTCCTTTACCAGCAGGTTAGTCTAGGATATTCTAACAGCAAGAGATGCTTTGGGGGTACCTGGGTAGCTCAAGCAGTTGGGCGTCTGCCTTTGGCTCAGGTCATGAGGTCCAGATCCTGGGATCAAGCCCCCCCGTATTGGGCTCCCAGCTCAGCAGAGAGCCTGGTTCTCCCTTTCCCTCTACCCCTGCTTGTGCTCCCTCTGTCTCTCTCTCTCAAATGAATAATTTTTTAAAATCTTAAAAAAAAAAAGAGAGAGAGATGCTTTGAGAGAGCCTTGGAGGGGGTAATAATGATGTTCTTTAGAGATTAAGGACATTAATAAAAAATAATTTCAGACTAGACTTGGCAAATGGAATGAGCCACAGACTTGGAAGTATCCTTGAAGATGACTTAATGTTTTCAGTTGTCAATGGGAAAAGTGAATCTGAGAGCTTAACTATCCAATTCAAGTTGTATGAGCTTCGTTAAATAAGTTCAGAGCCAGGCTTGTATTTGCAATTGCTGTCTCACACTTCCACTCCCCTATGCTGATTGGTTGGTTCAACAAACCAACAAAAAATGGCAGTTGACTGTAAGAATTTAGGGAGGATAAGAATTTGAGTAGAAATGAATAATTTAAAAAGGAGGTATGTTAATGTTTCTGGACTTGGGAGAGATTCTATTTATCAGATCCCTTTTGTTCCTTCTGATATGCCTCTACAGTTCCCATTTATTAGACCAGTCTGCTCTTTAAAACTTTATTTACAAATTTGTAAGTGACGTATTTGTGATATTTGCATACAGTTTAATTAAAAATGTTTCTTCTTTCTCATCACCTTTCCATTTGATGAAACTTTTGCCACTACTAAATTGCGGCTTTTAAAATCTTCTCAGTGACTTATAAGAACAGCTCAATTGCTGTTAGAGCAAAAATAAAGCAAAAAGGATAATTCGAGAAAAAAAGAGAACACATCATACTATTTAGAGAAGAGAGTTAGGCTTTCCAGTGTGTTTGAAGGAAATACAAGTGTTTAAAATCATTGCTCCAGTTTTGGACCCCAGGATTAGTACTTAAGTTTACTTAAAGTATTTTCACATTATTTTATGCCTTTTTTTAACCCCAGAGGTAACAGGGGTTTTATTTTTTATAATAACTTTATCAGAGTATAATTGACAAACAATAAACTGCAAAAATAATGTATACAATTTGATGAGTTTTTGACATATGTATACACACAAATCATTATCACAGTTAGAATAACTAATGTATTCATCATCTCCAAAAGTTTCCATTTTATCCTTTGCAGTCTCTGCTATCCATCTTTCACTGTCCCTTTACAACCTGTTCCCAGTTGCGTACAGATGTCCAGTTATTTCAGCAAAATTTGTTTGGAAAAACTATCCATTTTTCATCCACTAAATTGTTTTTGTACCTTTGTATAAAATTAGTTGTCTACTTAGGGGTGACTCTATGTCTAAGCTCTCTTATTTTGTCACATTAGTTGATTTTTCTATCTTTTCACCTATGCTACACTGTTCTGATACTGTAACTTTGTAATAATTTTTGAAACAAGATATTGTTAGCCTTGCAACTTTATCCTTGGGTGTTCTAGGTTCTTTTGCATTTCCACATGCATTTTAGAATAGGCTTGAAAATTTCTACCAAAAAAGTTTGCTGAAATTTTGATTGAAATGGAATTGATCTACAGATCAATGTAGGTAGACTTGTCTCCTTAACAAGATCGAATCTTCTGCCCCATGGACATAGTATCTCTCTCCATTAATTTAAATCTTTAGTTTTTGTCACCAAAGTTTATTAATTTTCAGCCTTTTCACATATTATTTCTCATTTAAATAGACACACTTTTTACTTAAGTACATTCACTTAAAAATTATTTTCACTTCCTTGGATGAAAACCAATATCACATGCCATAATTTGAAAGGTTACTTCGATAATCAAATAAAAACAAAAATAGTGTTAAATTTCAGGTAAAGAGTGGTACTTGCTGAAGCTCTTAATTTTTTTTCATTGTTAAAAAGCATAATTAACAAGTCTAGAGATTCTAAAGACATACTTCTGTCAAGTTGTTTTTTTTCCTTTTAGGTAACCAAGTCTTAAAAATAATAGAAAAGGGAATTGTTTTCTTACTAGGTAATTTATTTAGTTATTTATGAGGGAGGGAGGGAGATGGAGAGGGGGAGAGAGAGAGAGAGAGAGAGAGAGAGAGAGAGAGAGAGAGAACACACCCAGGAGCAGGGGAAAGGGAGGAGAGAGAATCCTAAAGCAGACTCCCCATTGAGTGTGGAGCCTGGCTCAGGGTTTCAATTCGAGGACCCTGAGATCACGACCTGAGCCAAAAAATCCAGTCAGATAGATGCTTAGCTGATTAGGCCACCCAGGAGTGGCCTAGCTACTCCTGGGAATAACTAGCTATAAGACAAGAGTGGCTTGAGCAAAGATCTAGAAGTGTGAGAAAATTTGAATAGTACAGAATCTGCAGAGGGTATAGACATTTTTAGAGTTGTAGTTTTAAACTTTGGTTGTATATAATCATCACCTTGAGAGTTTAAAAGACTCAGACCAAAAGAATCAGAATACTTGGATTGGAGTATCTATATCTTTTAAAAGTTCCCTAGGTAGTTCTAGTGCTTAGGAAGGAGTGGAAACCTCTATGATAGGATATTAGGATGTTGATATGGTAGGATGGTGATGGTGGTGATGATTTGAACTGGGCAGCCAGGAGAAAGCCCAGATGGATTAGCAATGTGTGACTTGGTTGTCTTAGTGGTTGTGATGGTAAAAATGTCATTGTTATAGCCACTTTAGGGCTAAAATATGAATTGCTTGTCAAGGTAGTTGAATATTATTTTGAAGAACTGAGGAAAGAGAGTCCCAACTCTCCTTTGCATTAAGAACAAGCACTTGGGAATTTTCTGCTTCAAATGCTCTTTTGGTTTAAAAGCAGTATGATCTTTTCTTATAGTTAAGGGCATTAAATGAGTGTTTTAAGAGTGCATATTATGATGGCATATTTAAAGAATGGTCTCAAAGCAACCTTTTCCAGTATTCTACAATAGAAATATGAAGTACTTTTGAAACAGCTTTAACACAATTGTTGTGCACAGAGTTCCACATAAGAAATGCATAGACTTCTTTGGGCAGTAGCATTTATAAATATAGCAATACATGCAATCCAAATTTGCATTTGTAAATAATGAACGTTATGAACGAGAAGAATCGGAATGTGAATCAGTTCCCTTCATATTTATCCATTGTTTTGATGCAGTCCTAAGACCCATTTAACATAAGGCATCTTCCAGATGGGTACTTGCCATTCATCAAGCTGTGCTTTTTCATTAATATTGGCCATGCCACCATCCTGAATACTTCACCTGGGAAAAGGAAAACAAAACAAAACAAAACAAAACAAAACTCCACACCCAGATCTTCAAACTTGCTTGGGAGAAGCATGGGACTGAGGAAGGAACTTCCAATTTTGCTTAACTTAAGAAGGGCAGTAAAAGGCACGGCAGAGGGCTTGATTATTTCACAAAAATATACATTGAGGAATTCAAGGGGAGGCCAGCGGGGGGAAAGGGCTTTCCTGGGGAAGGGGCCTTGACAGCCAGCCCCTAGGACGGTTTCTTGTGTGTCCCTCCCCGCAGGCGGGCCCGCTGCCGGCCGGCCCGCCCTCCCGGGGCCAGGGAGCCGGCCGCTCGCTGCCGGTGGGCGTGGCAGCGTCTCCAGCCTGCCTTCAGCCGCGCAGCCGGGGAGCGTCCCGGGACCCGGCGAGGCTCCCTGGCCATCTGCGCCCCTTAGCGTCTCCAGCACCCGCGGGGGTCGTGCCGCACTTCGCCCGTGCGCGGGAGGGAGGCAGCGGGACCGCGGCCGGGGCCGCCTCCCGCCGCTCCCGGGCAGGGTTACTGTGGACGGCGCCCTTTGCTCGCCAGACACCGTCGGGAATGGAGCCGTCGCCGTGTGGCCGCGGAGCCCGCGGCGGCAGCGGCAGCGGCCCAGCCCACTTGGCCCCGGGGCTGCTGGCGCCCGCGCCCCCGTCCCCGTCTCCGGCGGTGCCGCTCCCCCCGGCCATCCCCGTGCCTCCGACGTTCCTGCGGCCCCCCAGCCTGTTCCTGCGGGCGGCCGCGGCCGGCACGGCGGGCGGGGGCTGCGCGTCGGCCCCGGGGCTGGAGAGGGCCGTGGGCGCGGCGGGCTGCGGCTACCCGCGGACGCCCAAGTGCGCGCGCTGCCGCAACCACGGCGTCGTGTCGGCGCTCAAGGGCCACAAGCGCTTCTGCCGCTGGCGGGACTGCGCGTGTGCCAAGTGCACCCTGATAGCCGAGCGCCAGCGCGTCATGGCCGCGCAGGTGGCGCTGCGCCGGCAGCAGGCGCAGGAGGAGAGCGAGGCCCGGGGGCTGCAGCGGCTGCTGTGCGCGGGGCCCTGCGGCCCGGCGGGTCGGGCGGCCGGAGGCGGCGGCAGGGCCGAGGAGGCCGGGGCCCCGAGCGGCCCTGCGGCGGGGGCGCGGACGGGCACGGGCCCGGGCCCGGGCACGGGGACGCCGCTGGGACTCGGTGCCTCGAGGCAGGCGGGTCTGGCGGCCGCTGCTCTCCAGGTGGGCCGGCCGGACGAGACGGAGCCCAAACAAGGTGAGTGGGTCTTGACGCTTGGCAAAGAAGACAAACTCCCGGAAACAAGAGGCCAGGCCTCGGCGATGGGCAAGAAAAGTTGTTTAGAAGAAGCGTTCGTTTAAGTTCAGGGAAACCGCTCTGTGCTAGGAAGGGTGCCCTGGGCCCTTGGGCGATAGGGTAGCAAAGTCAGAGTGCAGTGTGAGGGACCGTCAGACGGGCGACTCGGGCTAGGAGTCGTCTGCACCCCAGGGACTGTTACTTCGGTGGGCTGGAACCTCCAAGGAATTGGGCCTTGGGTGAAAAGCTTGGTGAGGGAAGCTGGGTTTTAGGCTTGCGCTATATATACTCTTTTCAGCTATAAAACCAAAGTTAATCTTCCAGTCTTGCTGGGGAATTCCCTGAAGGTCGGGACTACAGTTCTTCATCTTTGGTGCCAGCTAGAAGTGGGGAAGAGTCTGAAAACCACCAAACCTCTTTTCACCTCTTTTCCTTCTCTTAAAATTTTTAAGCACCACCTTGCAACTGTTGGTTAGCCTCCGAAAGTGTAGAAAGCTCTAAATTTGAAGTTTCAGCTCTTTCCCATAGGAAAGAACTTTGGGCTTTCCAGATTTGTAAAACCATTGGGAAGAAGAATTTTAAAATCCAATAATAGAGATTTCTTATATCGCCCCTTATATTTTAATTTTTTCCCTCTTTTTTATTGGCCACAAATCATCTTCATCCGTGTTCTGTAAAAAAGATACACACACACACACACACACACGTGTGAAAATCACTGCTTTAGGCAGTAATTTGTTTTGTTGAATTTATAACATTTGAGAAAAAGAAAGTTTGACAAATACTCTGAGTAATCCCACTTGACAGTGGGATTTTATATATATATTATATACATATTATATATATATAAAGTTTATATATATATGTGTATATATATATGTATATATATATATAACTAGAGTTACCTCAAATTAAGTTTTCCTGCTGATGTAAACCTCAGTTTATTTTAGTGAATTTCCCAGCCCTCTGCAGGTAACACTAGTAGTGTAAAAGTCATTTCAGTATTTTTGTATAAATTCAAGATAGGTTGTAGCATATGAAATTCTACAGTAATGAAAAGTAAGTTATTAATTAGAACACTTTCCTGAATTGTGAAAGTTGCAGATCTTTTTGGATTACAGGATGTATTTTTGAAAAAGACTCTTTGTATTTAAATAAGGCTTATATGACTTTGTGTTCACCTGTGCCAATGTTTTGCCCATGTCCTAGTTCATTTCAGTGGACAAAATAGACTAAACATTTCTCATAAAAAATCAGAGTGCTGAAGAACAAATTCATTTAAGCAAATAATAACTGCTATACAAAAGAAGTAAAAGTTAAAATACTGTAAATTGACAGTGAAATGTGGCTAATACCTCTCTGCTAGACATTGATTTTATATGATTTTTTTTGTGGGGGGAGGAGTAAACCAGAGTGTTCTGTTTGATAGGATCAAGTATTTTATTTTATTCTTTGCCTCAGTTTACTTCCTTTTTTTGAAAAGCCATGTCTATAGCTTTTCTAGACTGACTGCATTCTCTTACCCAATATCCTTGAGCTGCAGTAGTCTTTTTAATTCACTCACTCATTAGACAAAGACTAACAGTGATTCAGAAGTGAGTAAGATTTTTCTACACAAAAAAAAAAACCCTATATACAAAAGAAGGAAGACTATATGTATCCAACACAAGACAAAATACACAATGATAAAAGTAAAGAAATAAAACCTGATACAAGAGTTGAGAAAACAGAGAGATGATGTAAATGATATCATAGTATCTTAAAGATACCTTATTTCCAGCGTCTTATGCAATCTATTGTGTTATATTGTACCGTATGAGTACAGTACCCTAATAAAAATTGTTTTGTGTGTAAATTGCTGTAGACATAAAATTTTGATACCTTACATGTTCTGGGGCATATTTAATCAGTCATAGTTAGAAATAAAATGTAATAATAGTCAACTAAGGCCAATCTATCCCCATTTGGTAGACTTCATTAGAAAAGTTTCCTTGTTTCTTTTAAAGCTGAAAATACTAGAGAATATTTGTAGTTTTCCAGGAGCAACATCTTTTCTTTTGTCATCTGCTTAATACAATGACAGAATTTTAACCCTCAAAGTGTTAAATTGCACACAGTTACTTAATTTTAAAATATAGGTACTTCTTTAGAATTTAGGACTCCTTCTTGAGAAACCCTAGGAGGGTTGCAAATTATATGTGAGAATCACTGCTTTAGGCAGTAATTTGTTTTGTTGAATTTATAACATTTTAGAAAAAGAAAGTTTGACAGAAATACTCTGAGTAATCTCACTTGACAGTTTACTCTTTTTGTTGGAAATAGAGACAAAATATGTCTATAGGATAGAGGAAATGTAAACCAAAATAAAAGTTATTTAGTGGAGTATAAGTATAAATTATTGTTATTTTCCTGGCATGAACTGTACAAAAGGACATAACTGTTACTATTTTATGAATATTAATATACTCACCATTTTGATGTATGAAATTGGATTTTTATATAAAATGTTTTTGGAAAACTGTCCTTAATATTGGAAAGGAGTTGTGATTTGAAGCAAATGACTCATATGTTGTTTTTATAAGACACTTTGAAGATACATACAGATTGCAATAGTGCATTTTGTAATTTTCTTTAAGAAACAATTTGACTGTAAACTCTTTTGGACATTTCCTAGGGATTGAAAAAGAAAGTCCTAATTTCACAAGGGACTGTGAAAAATACCAAGTCTGTATCATCTCTCACATAAAATGAAATGTGAGTTTTGGTATGATTTGAGATTGGTACAGCAGTGGTCATTATTGATTTAGATTTGAAGTGAAATGAAGAACTTTGTTGTTTTTCACATTATTCAGGTAGCTTAATTGGAACCTGAAATGTGAGCATTAAAAAAAAATACATTGAAACTTAGTTATAAATAGAATATTCATTTTCATACTGAGATTGTTCCTTCCTATGACTTCTTATCTAAACAATCATTTTATTTAGTTCTCTTTGAATAGTGTTATTTTGAAAAAAACCTCACTGGGATAACAATGAAATTTGGGGAAATTAGGAAAATCTCAAAACACTAAATGGGGCAAATAGTGTGAAATATTGGTTTCATGTTAGTAGTTGGGGGGGTAATAATAGACATTTATCTTCTGATTCCTAAATTAACTATAGCATTTGTATGTTATATAATTTTGTGATCTTGGAATGACCTAATAGATAGCATTTTCCTGCTATTCCAATGCCTGCATTTCTGAATGACATTTTAAAATTTTGATTGATTAAGGTCTCTTTCAGCAAATAAATATTAATAATATACTGTGAGTTAATCAATTATTTTATCCAACATTATTTTCAAATAGGCAATACTGTCTGTATTTTGGGAAGTTTTCCTTTATTCGATTTCCTTTTTTTTCCTCCAGAACTAAAAGAGAGTAAATGTGACTCATGCCAGAATGGACAACAAGAGCCAGTCTCTAAATCCCATCAGCGTACTCTGGGATCATCTCCTAAGTCTAATGGGGTCATTGGAAAACAAAACATCAGGCCATCTATTTCAGAAAGCTCAAACAAGGAAGATATTATTCAGCCTCTTCACCCCGGGGATCTATCAGGAGGGGAAGAGAGTCCCAGGTCCCTGTCATCATCTGATCTGGAATCAGGAAATGAAAGTGAGTGGGCCAAAGACTTCACTGCTACCAGAGCCAGCCTTTCCACGCTGTCCTCAAGACCAAGAGACCCTCTCGATATCCTAACCAGGATTTTCCCAAGTTATAGGCGTAGCCGGCTGGAAGGCATTTTACGCTTCTGCAAAGGAGATGTGGTTCAAGCCATTGAACAGGTCCTAAATGGGAGAGAACATCAACCAGAGACCAGGGACTTAGCAAACTCAGGAGAATTGGAAAATACAGCTTTTCAGAGAGCTTCAAACTTTAGTTTAGGTGGAATTGGTTTTGGAACTCTGGGGAATAAATCAGCTTTCTCTCCTCTTCAAACTGCTTCTGCTTCTTATGGAGGTGATTCAGGTGTCTACAGCTTAAATCCTAGATTAGGTATCAATCCATTACGCCTGGCATATTCCTCTCCAGGAAGAGGGCTCTCTGGTTTTATGTCTCCTTACCTAACTCCGGGGTTGGTACCAGCATTGCCTTTTCAGCCTGCTTTGGATTATGCATTTTCAGGAATGATTAGGGAGTCTTCCTACCTTCCCAGCAAAGACTCAGTAACTGGTGGCAGATTGTATTCCAGGCCAAATCAGGACAATCTGTAATATTTCTGCCTATTCTCCCTTTCTGGAGTATTTCTAGAAGCAGGCAACACAACCCACACACCCACATCTATTAATATGTACGCTATGTATGTGAGAGGCTTACTAGACCTTAAAATGCTATTGTTTTTTACAGCCAATATGATAAATTTAAGATCTAAGGATTCTTCTTCAGCATTTATTAAGTGAAAGAAGCATTTAAACATTATATGTGCCTTGAATAAAGTCATTTCAGGAAATATTTTTACCTTTATGAATTATCTCCCTAAAATATTGGTTGTAGAATCCCTATTTTAAAACTATACTTTTTTTATTTTATTGAAAAATTGAATTTATAGTTGTAAGATACATTTATGAGTGTAAAGCAATCCAACATATAAAATAAACTGAAAGGAAAAATTAAAAAGTTGAGGTAATTCCAAATGACTATTACTTTGAACTTTTTCTTTCTGTCTATTCCTTGTAAATGGGAGAGAAAAAAGCTATTCAAGCTTTTTTAAAGCATTTTATTCACATATAAGTGATTAATAATTAAAACTTTTGGGAAATTTAAATTCCTTATTTTTTTCTGACGGTCTTATTTTTCATTCGTATCTGCTATTTGTGATAACAGGTGCCATTAACAAAACATTTCTCTTTAAACTTTGTAAATTATACAAAACCTATGAAGTAAATTTTAGGAAATGAGACTGCACCATCTCCTGGCCACTATCATTAATTGCATCTAAGTTCTGGTAGAGTGTAGGAATTTGAAATGAATGGTTTCTTAGTAGTATAAGCTAAGCTAAACTTCTTTTGAAACAGTCATTTTGGATCATGCTACATAGAAACTTTTATATTATAAAGTGAACATATACTGTGGGTTAGGATTTTAATCTTTGTTTCTGGAGAAATACTCCTTTCTGTATGTTTGTGGCAAGAATATGGGAGCACCAATTCTCAAAGGTAAAAATAGTCTTATTCAGAAAATTTAAATACTTATTCAGATAAATATTGATTGACTATAGGTAGATGATGCTTAATACATTGAGGAGAGATAAAATTTATAAAGGAGATAATATTATCATTAAATTTTAGAGACTCCTTGAGATTTTAATAATATTTTTGCTCTCCATCTGGAGCATACAAAAGCTGTTTATTTCAGTAAGTGGAATGTCCCTGAGAAAATGGCTTATAAAACAATTTCATAAAGTTTTTTTTATATGTCATCACTTTTTTGAAGATAGTAGCTTCATTGTTATTGTTAGGAATAAATGAAAACCCAGCTGTGGTGTAAGATAGTTGATGAATTAGAGATAGTTTAAACAGTTTGACAACATGATACACTAAAAAAATTTCTTAAATTATACGTATATATGTGTGTGTGTGTGTATGTGTGTGTGTACACACACATACACACACATCTATATTTTACCAGCAAATATCATATTACATGCATAGTATCTGATGATTTAAGATGTAGATATATTTAATACAGTATGCATTATTTTTAGTGGTGTGAATATGAGAAAGCAGATCTTGTAAAGATTTGTTGTAATTAGTATTCATTATTTATAAAAAAAAGTTTTAGATTCTAAGCCTAAACCATAATACAATGCCTGGCAAGTAGTTGATATTCAATTAATATATACTGAGTGAAGGAATCATTTTGAATAATAGATTTCTCTGAGACTCTGGTGAAACCAAAGAACTCTGCGTGATGGCCAAACACAGTTTTGCATATAATTTCACAGGGTTCTCAAATCTCTAAGTGCCATTCACTATTCAGTTTAGGATTCTTGGTGATTCTTAAATTGTTTCCATTGCATTGATTCATTTTACAAATGCTATTTTTTTGAAAAGTACTAGATCCTATAGAGGATAACAAATATTAACTATTGTGCACTCAAGGAAGTTACATTTTGCATTAGAAATCTTGTTGAAAATACAACAATGCTAGCTAGAGTCATTGGGTATTTTATGTGGTTTATATAATGATGTGCATATATCCATTTGAGAGGCTTAATTGCTTTTTTTTTAAACATTTTATTTATTTATTCATGAGAAACAGAGAGAGAGAGAGAGAGGCAGAGACACAGGCAGATGGAGAAGCAGGCCTCATGCAGGGAGCCCAATGTGGGACTCAATCCCGGGACTCCAGGATCATGGCCTGGGCCAAAGGCAGGCGCTAAACCGCTGAGCCACCCAGGGATCCCCCTGAATTGCTTTTGAACTGGGGAAATATCCATTTTGAATCACATTCAAGTTTAAAAAATAATTTTATACTCTTAAAACAAGTTAATTTACATAATGCTTTATACGTTTCATACGCTTTACAATAATTTTAGTACTAAATAAGCTTATAGAGTAGGTCATTTTGTTCAACATTAAATTGAATGTGAGGAATTTGAGGCTTAGCAGTAGTATTGCCCATTCCCAAGGTTACCATAATAGAGACAGTCATCAGGAGTAGAAGTTACTTCACCAATTTCAGTTACACTTTAAGGTCTGGGAAGGATTCATGTCTGTTTGTCCCATCACAGCTTTGTATAGTATCTGGTGGATAATAGGTGTTCAAGTAATAGTTTTCGATGACTGAATTAAACATAAAAAGAAACTATTAGCTTAGAATTTTGCTTATTCAACAACTATTTATTAAGCACCTACTTTGTGCCAGGCACTATGCTACACACAGGGGATAAAGTGGTTAATAAGATTCAAGACTTCACCTCAAAGTGCTCATAGTCTCTGTTACCATGTGTACAAAAACATCCAGTTATGCAGTGTTGGTACTGTTTGATAATGTTAGTACATCAGTGAGTTCTGTGTAATCATGAGGTTTATGCCTATGGATACTGCTTGAGGCCTGAACTCCTAAACTACTGACTACACAGAGGGAACAGTATCTGTTTCCATGTAGTGTGTTTAGGGAAGGGCAATTTATTTGAGAGGTAAACAACTTGTCTATAAGTGAAAGAGGTGGGCAAAGAGAAAGCTTTTGTTCCATTGAATGGATGCATGGAAGTCACCCTAGTTTGTGGCCTCTGGATCAAAGATATTTCCTAATCCCAGTGGTGAGCTTTTGGAATTCCTCTGAGTCCATGCATAGGCCTCCTGGTCTAAGCTCTCATCTGGCTATTCTATGAAAATGGGTTAGAGTTGCAGGGACAATTGAAGAGCATGTGAGTGAAGTGATCTACTTTTTTCTCTGCAACTTCTGCTGAAACAAAAAGATCTTGGGGATTTTAAGACCTTCCTTCTTAGAAATTCCTAACTGTGAACTTAGAACTAAGAAACATGAAGTGGCCTATTCATTCATCTCTTTATTTATTTTAAATGCAGTTTCCTTAGACAATTGTTTTTCTTTGAAGTTAAAAAGCCTTCACAATACAAGAGAGGCTTGGCATAAAGCACTTAATTATTTACCACTGTAAATAGAATCATTCTCCTCTGTACAAAATGAGATGAAGTGCATTATCAGCTTCATAAAAGCAAAGCTTTTCCTTTGGGCAGCGTGATCTTAAGTGTAGACGCTCATCCTTTAGGTCAAGGATAATGGGAAAAGTTCCTGCTCAGATCCTTTCTTCTTTTCCATGCATCTCCAAATAGTGCTATTATGGATGCCTGCATTGCAGAGCTAGGCCTTACTTATTTGGCATTGTCCCCTCCAAATTCAAGCTGTTTTGGTGTGACACTTCAGAGCAGCTGTGCCAAACATTAATCTTTTTTGTTTGTTTTTGCTTACTAAGTATTATTCAGATGAGAGAAATGAATTGCCATTTCCCCTTTCTGAACTCCATCTTAGTGATGGGAAATTCAAGGAAAGACAAGATAAGATGAAAGGGAAGAGAACTATGAAATCTGTTTCTTACTTTTGCTAATTTGGTAATTTAAAAAAACTGAGGTTTTAATTTTTTTAGATTGTTGCAATATTCTCAAGTCGCAATGGCCACATTACGTAGCCTTATGAGGATGCTCATAGCTTTAAGGGTCATAAATATGGCCACATCAAAACATCTATGTCAAAAAATTGCTTAAAATATTGAATATTTATTAAACTCCATCTTAGTGACAAGTTTATTTAAGAAAAATAGAGGATCCCCGGGTGGCTCAGCGGTTTAGCGCCTGTCTTCGGCCCAGGGCATGATCCTGGAGTCCCAGAATCAAGTCCTGCATCAGGCTCCCTGCATGGAGCCTGCTTCTCCCTCTGCCGGTGTCTCTGCCTCTCTCTCCCTCTCTCTGTGTATCTTGTGAATGAATAAATAAAATCTTTAAAAAAAGAAAAATAGACTAGAAATAGATACAATTAGGAGGAAATACATAGAAAGTCGAACAGGCATACTAAAAAATATTAATTAGAAAATCCATGTCAAGCAGGAAGGGTTTTAGATTCCTGTACTTGACCGTTTTTAAATTTTTTGTCAACCAAGTAGATGAAGGAATACATTTCATTGTTATCTTATTCATGGACAACACACATCTGAGAAGGGCAGCTGATCTTTTGGAGGACAGAATGGGTTTTAAATGGTTGATTCCCACCCTCTAACTCTCATTCAAGTGAACTGATACAGTGTTCAAAATCCTAGGAATATTAAAAAAAAGAATCAACGGCACACGTAGGGAAGAGAGACCTGGATTTATATCAAATTTTAAGGAGAACAAAAAGTAGTGTTATTTGCTGATGGGTAAATTCACCATGAGTTTACCATATAACATGCATATGCTGAAAGTCCATTGATATTAGATTACATGAATAGGAGTAGTGTGGAATGAGGGAGGTGAGAGTACTTGTACTCTGGAATATCAGTTGGGTAGGTATTAGCTGAAGTCATGATCAGTTCTGAGTGGCATACACTAAGAGTAATTCTAAAACTCAATAAAACAGAGATATAAGATGCTAAGTGGTGATTGTGGTGGTGGTAGTAGTGTTTTATGTGAAAGTGTTAGAAATAGTATAAGTGAAAACATTTTAAAGAGCTAGCGTATGAGAAAAATGAATTAGGGTCATTCTGTAGAGTATAGTG